CTGGCTGCAACTCAAATTCCCCAACTTCGATATACTAATACCCTCGTCCTCATCCCAGATAAAAAAATATAAAGACCGAAATATAACGAGTGTGTGGCACTCCATAAAACACATCCTAGTTATCATGAATAGGAAACTTACCTTCAATAGCCTGAAGTGCCTGCATATCCTGTGGCATGGGGTTGTACACCCTGCCATAGTGCAACTGCTACGGTGCCTGTCCCTGAGGCTGCAGCGGTGCCGATAAAGCCGGATAAGTCTGTCCCTGAATCCGGGGTACCTGTGGAGCGGGTAAAGGTACTGACGCCCTCAGCCCCTGCTGCACATGCTGCCCCTGTCCTTGTCCTGCTTTAGGACACTGCCTGGAGGTATGACCATACTCTCCACAAGTGTAGCAACAACCCTGGAAAGTACCAAATGGCCTCCTCTGTCTGTTAGCCTGTGGCTGACCTTGTCTAGTCTGTGGTCCCCCATTCTGCTGCCCATGAATAGGTGACACATCCCTGTTATCATCTGAACCACCCTTGTGTTTCTTCCAAGGCTGCTGTCCCTGGAACTTGCCCTTGTCATTCTGTCGATGATCATTTCCATTTCCCTTCTCAACTGACCGATTAGCAGAGTCTTTATCACCCCGCTTCTCACCCTTGTCCTGTCTGATGTCCACTGTCAGCTGATACTGCTGCAAAGCGGCGTCTACCACCTGAGCATAGGTAGTGTACGTTGGACTGCCTATAATAGCTCGCTTAATCGACCACATCAGTCCCTTCACAAAACTATTGTGCTTTTTCTCTTCCGTATCCACCTCCTTCAGAGCAAACAGAGATAAGCGTGTAAACTGCTGCTCATACTCTGCCACCGTCATGTTCCCCTGCTGCAAATTTAGAAACTCAGTCTTCATAGCTGCCCTAACTGCATAGGGAAAATATTTCTCATCAAAGCGAGTACTGAACTAATCATAACTCAATGTCATCCTCTCCTCTACAGTGGTAACGGACTCCTACCACTGTAGTGCATCCCCAACCAGCTTGAAGGTAGCAAGCATCTGCTTCTGAACCTCCGTGCACTGAACCAAGCGAAGATGACGCTCAATGTCTCGTTTCCACTGGTGAGCTGCTTTCGCATCGGTGGAGCTTGAGAACACAGGTGGACTCCCCTTGGTGAAAGAACTCTTAGCCATCTCCCAAGTATTAGTCTGAACAACCGGTGCTGGTATAGGTGCCTGCTGAACCGGTGGTTGATTCCGAAGTGCAGCTGTTACCCCAGCCTCTATAGCCCGAGCAACAAGGTCATTGAGGTGAGGAGGAATCTCTGGATCTCTGACCTGACCCGGAGTCTGCTAAACTTCCTCCTGCTCATTACGAAACTGACCTTCAACATCCTGAAACCCAGGCATTTGCTGCTCTTCCTCCATCTGCCGACGCCGTAGGAAATCTTGCTGCCTATGTGCCTTCTCCCTTCGTCGATGGTTGTTACGTCTGGTTCTTGCATTAACCATGTTGTTAACACATAAAATCAGACATCAGTACGATATACTAGGACCGTAAAGAATACAACGAATCCTAAACTTAAGCTCTAATCAAGAGATAACGCTACGCGGAAGTCTTATACGATAGAATCCTAGAGACACTTGAACGTGGAGTGCTCTGATACCAACTGTGATACCCCTCGGATCCGAGACACGGGTTGATCAGGCCCAGGCCCAAATCCGAGAGATATAAAACAATTAATATTTTAAAACGAACACAGAATACAAAAGTGATTAAAGAGATAAAATTTAAGCTGAAAGAAACTAAAATAAATCCTCAAATATAAATATTTAAACCTTGACAATCCAAACTCCATAAGTTTAACAACTCGGGAATCCATCTCTAGTGGACCCCTAATAAAATCCCAAACTGCATGGAAGAAAACTGAAGATAAAATCCAAATTTAATATCTGGAAAGAAGTCCTACGTTGTCGGTAGAATAGAAGTCTGTATCTGCTCTGCACGATCAAACTCTAACCCTGGAACTGACGAGTACCTGAAAAATATAAGGGTGGGTCAGGCCCACATGCAAGTCCTAATCTACTACAACCCAAACAGGAATCCGATACGCAGATACATACTAGAAAGACTCAACAATATCTAGAGTAGTCCATATATGTATAAGTACACACTATAAGACACTCACTAGTCCAAAAAGGTCTGTCTCAGCCTGAATAGAGATACCATGCAAATCGCACATACTGTGGTCATGTGTATTTAGACCTACCAAGGAACAACACCTCTGTCCAACTATCCATCCTAGGCAATATACGCACCCTAACCATGGTCCTGAGACTCAAGCTCATACCATGGCACATATAATAAATATATAAAGTCCGTGTCCTTCTATTACAAAATATCAACCATCTGAAAAGTGGTTTGATAAATGTAAAGCAAATCCATCCTGAAACCATATTAAGTCATTCAATTATTTGATTGATATGACACAAGTAGGTGATGGACTTAACTCATAGGGTTAATCCATACTTTAATCCAAATTAGGTAGGATTTAGTGTTTGACTAATCCATACCTAGTATGTCACCGTCCCATACCGGTACATACAAATTCTCCATATAGCATAGTTATTAAAACAACACTATATAATCAACAACCATCCTCCAGTATATGCATTGGTATAAATTCATACATATATCAATATTAGGTATTCATTACAGAACCTAAATATCATGCTCCAATCATTTAAACAGCTAGAATAAGACATAGCATCTGAATCCTCCAAAACAGCCAATAAATTGATACATATTAAACAAGTTAAATGTCAATTTAAATCCAACTAAGTATAGATAAATATAATTAATTTACCATACTTATAACACAGTAACAATATAGGGTTATATATAATTGAATTATATATAAAAACTTTGCCAAGTTCCAGTTATATAAACCTAGCAAAAACAGTGCAACGTATAGCCATTATTTGATCTGTTCATTGCTCCTACCCTTAAACCATTATGGTATTAAATGTTTTAAACATTTATTTAAGTCCCTAACATTTAATTACATCTCACAGTAGCTTTTAAACGGCTTCAGAAAACACTGCACAGCCAAACAACCCCTTAAAACCAAATATGTGCGCAATAAAAGAGAGCAGGCTCAAATTAAACATTGAGCCTGCTCAATTTTCCACTTGGAGCCGGCTCCATTAGCATTGAGCCGGCTCCAAACAAAGATAGAGCCGGCTCCTTTGCCTTTGAGCCGGCTCTAAGGCTTTTTAAAGCCTGCTCAATCCCCTTCAGTAGCCTTTTGCCCGTTCTAACTTCATCTTCTCCAGCTCCGGTGATTACAGAGCCTCTGAGGTGTTTCTAAAACTTTGTTTCAAGCTCAGTCCTAGGCAGATATTAAACCACTGATATTCAACTAAAACATGCATGGAACACAAGCTTTAAAGCTACGATTGCAAAACCTCTGTTGTCCAATTTTAAGCAAGTTCCAACAGAAATTTATTTCAGTTTAATTTAGTGCAACTAAATCATGTTCTAAGAATTTGTTCTAGAGTTCAAACTCAGTCCCAGATTAGTTACAAGGCATCAAGTCGCATCCCTAATCTCAACCATCAAAGCTTAATCGTAACCCATAGAAGGAAACAAAAATAGAATAGTAAAATCATGCAAAACAATTAATTCACGAGATTAAACATAAATTCCTATATGCACAAAACATGTTATTATGTTTATTTACAACCGTTTTAGCATTTATTAAATCCCTGGAGTCCAACTAGTCATGCATAGAACACGAATTAACGGGAGAGAGAAGAACAAAACTTGCCTTTGAATTTCAGATTTGAAATTCTAATTCACCGTCTCTGTAAGCTATGTTCGTGTCCTATACTGCAAGTCTGCTCCTCCAATGCCTTGGTTCAACCCCAAAAACACCTCTCCTTCCTCCTTCTTGGTCCAACCTTGGTCTAAACCTCCTCTCTTTTCTCTCTCTGTATCTCACTATTCTTTGTAGAACTCTGTTACGTAAATAGGTTTTATTGAATTTTCTAAAACCCTAAACCCACATGCGATTATATTTATAGACTTAAACATTAACCCTAATCCATAAATAACTTGGCCCATTGAATATTCTAGGTTTAAAACAGTGTCGGCTAAACTAGAAACATAAAACGCTAAATTCAGATAAATAAAATAAAATAATTAAATTAAAGCAAATAAATAATTAAATGCCCTAAAACAATTTAAAACAATTAAACCACACCAAAGAAATAAACAAATGCAAGTTAACCAATTGATTACATAAAATACAATTTAAACAATTAATTAAATAAAAATACTATTTAAACAATTTATTAAATTCCAGGACTGTCCCTTTTAAAATTAGGGGTATTACAATATAATGATCTAAAACCTTGGGAACCTTGGCCTTGTAGTGGAGGTGGAATGTATTTTCCTTGAAAACCGCCTTGGGAAGGGTTTGAGCCCTCCCTTTGTTTTTTCCAAGAGAAATTCAGGTGATTCCTCCAACTAGGATTGTAATGATTTCCATAAGGATTGTTCCCTTGATTAGCAAAAACAGCATTTATTTGTTCATGATGCTCACTTTGCACATGTCCATGGGGACAATTGAAACTAGAATGTAAAACACTTGAACAAGTCATACACGTCTCATTAGATGCATGATGAGAATGGTTAGGGAATGAAGATACTTGATTCGCCGAGTTTTGGTTGATCAAAAATTGATCAAACCTTTGAGATAATGATTTCATTTCGGCGACAATTTCATTGGACTGGTCGACTTGATGTAAGCCAACACTCTTCCTACCACTAGAATTTCTACCATTCTTCGAAGATAAAGTATGATGCAAAGAAAATTCACTCGTGCTCTCATAAAGACGCCAAACGTCATCCTCATGCCTATCAATGTAAGAGCCACCCATGGAAGCATCAACCATGCCTTTGTAATTGTCCGATAAACTCTTAAAGAAATATTGAACTAATTGCCATTTAGGCATGTCATGATGTGGACACTTCCTAAGCAATTTATTAAAGCGTTCCCATGCCTCATGAAATGTTTCTCCATCCCCATGTGAAAATTCTCAAATTGAGGTTCTCATGGTATTGGTCTTAGAAACCGGATAGTACTTCTTCAAGAACTCTTGTTGCATTTCCGCCCAAGAAGTTATTGAAAAAGGCCTAAGATTGTTAAACCAATATTTTGCCTTATCTTTAAGGGTGAATGGAAAAATTTTAAGCCTTAAGACCTCTTTCGGTATGTCCGCATATTTTACGGTGGAAGGCCTCTTTCAGCATGTCCGCATATTTTACGGTGGAACATGCTTCAAGAAACTCATCTAAATGCTTGTAAGGTTCTTCACTTTGAAGTCCATGATAATTAGGAAGCATTTGAATGGTTTGTGGCTTAATTTCATAGTGATGTGCTCTAAATGGCGGCAATTGAATGCATGTAGGTGCATTATATTCATTAGGCACATAATGATCTCTTAAAGCAAGAGGAGGATTAGCAATTGGAGGTGCAACATAGGCACCTAGGTTACCTTGAATGATGGGAGGTGGTGGAACATAGATTACCCTTGGCATTCCCAATGGAACTTGGCCTTGCTGTTGTGGTGGATGAACATATGGCCTTGGCATGCCTAATGCAACTTGCGTGTTATTGTAATGCACATTGGGGTGGAGGATGCCTTGTTGGTCTATGTGACCAAGGTCCTCCACATGGTCTTCATTGTGTCTTTCCATTGATGAAATGGATTGACTAGAGCTACCTCTTCCCCTAAGGTTTCGAACAATGGATTCAAGATGAAAATTTAAAGGGACAAGAGTGGGTCTCAATGATCTACGACCATGCATGCACAATGCAACACAACGAGCAATAACAACAAACACTTCACCTTCACAACAAATCAATAATCAACAAACTTTCTCCACATTCAATGTTCTCATACTTCCATGCTTAAACAAAATGCAAGAAAAGTAAATTGCCTCCACGCGGGCTCACGATTTATTTAAGAATTGAATTACAAGCCTCCACGCGGGCCGACGATTTAACTAAGGGCTTGAGTAAAGAAAAGCTCACAAAGGTCCTTTAGCACTTCAACTCCAAATTTATAGCTTAGCTTAGCAATTTTTAACTTTTTAGCATTTTTCCTTTGCTTGGTTAGCTCCTTTGCTTGGAATATCCTTTGCTTGCTTCCTAGCTCAATGTTCCTTGTCAATCAAGAACAAACACAATAAGTAACAAAAATTGAAAAAAAAGTAAAGACACGATCAAAAGAGTACTAATTCCTAATGAATTCCACAAATACGACGTTGCCAATCAATCAATCCCCGGCAACGGCGCCAAAAACTATGGTGTCTTCTCGGGTGGTGGACAAAACAATGCACAAAATTTTTAAGAGTTTGGAAATTAGTGTCAAGTGGGCACCATAATTTAAATTTAAAAACCACTTAACACCTATACTATGTAGTATGAGTGAGAAGGGATCGTCCCAAGGGATTGAGTTGTCGTACTATATTGGGGAGTCAAAATTAGGGTTAGTAGGTCGAGTTATTAAAATAGTGGTTGGTTGGTTGACTTAAACTAGATGCAAATTAAACTAAAGTAAGTAATAATGCAATAGAGAGAATAAAAGAGAGAGAGATCTTGGGGTTTAGAGATCGCCACTAAGCATAGCTTTTCTACACCTTTAATTAATGATTAATGAGGGGAAGAACATGTATTGCAATGTATAGTGTGTGTGTGTGGTTGCTTCAATAAGCATGGATGACAAATTAAGCATATATTGTCTAAACAACATGGTGGATATCACAACATATCAAATTAAGCCATTAATCCTTTCTTTAAGCTCACAATCCAAACACATCACAAGGTTAGAGATACATGTTACTTGCTTTTCATAAGTATGGAACATCAACAACAAGTATGGATTGTCCTCCCATTTAATAACTACTCTACAACTAAGCTAATGACATGAAATTAAACTAAGGGAGAGGCACAATCCATCAAGTAATGAGTATGAACCATCAAATAAACCACAAGAACATGACATTAAGCACTATGCCTTGACAATCTCTAAATCTATAGCATCAACACACATAGACATGCATCAATAACACAAGAAATAGAGACAAACACATGAATATTTATTCTAGCATATATAGACATATGGATAGAATGAAATGATCAATTGGAAGCTTTAAACCACATAAATCATTGAATAAACAAGATCTATATATATAAAAGTGTCAAGACATGAATCACAATGCAAATTCCTACAAAAATACATAAATCAAGAAGTAGAAAGCATGCTTAGGGCTAACTCTAGCCCCAAGAGGATATCCAGCCACTCATGGATGATATCCTCCAACCCTCAAGGGCAAGCTCCATGGAAGAAATCTGCTCCTTGGTTGATGAAGAGCCTCCAATGGTGTCTCTAGCCTCTTCCTCCTCTTTACTTCCTCACTAAGAGTTCTCTAAGGTATGATATGATATGAGATAATACAATATGATCCTCTATGTTAAAAGTAATCCTTATCCTTATATAGGTAGGTCAAATGACACCCAAAATAAGCTGGGGTCGTATAGTAAATATTCTCCAATGATTGGATAAGGGACAACTTTTTGTGAGCTGGAAATTTAACTTTTTCGCACTGGAGAAAGTTCGATCGATCAAACCTTGGACTTTGATTGATCGAACATTGCTGAGATCTATCGAACTAAAGTTGGATCGATTCTCAATGGCGGCGCCTTTTTAGATAAAAACAACTATGAGATATTTTGAAGATATTTTTGGGAAAATGACAAAATTGGTTGGTAGGGTGGTACAACTGGATAAGATCAATCATTTGGATAAGGACAAGAATGTTCGATCGATCGAAGAAGGAAGTTGGATTGATTGAACTTTTGAGATCTTTAAACAGGGACAAACATGGCTCAGATATATCTTGAAGTGCTGAGATCTATTAAAGTTGGATCGATCGAACTTTTCTTAAGATCGATCGATGTTGTTGAAATTCCACCATTTGCTTCCTTTTGCTCTATTAAGCTCCTTTCTTTGATTCATCCCAGAATTGCTTCAATTATGCTCTTATTTGGCTGAGTTAGCTTATTTTGGGAATAAGTACCTGAAAATGGAAATAACTTTAAATCAATACAAAACGGTAAAATAAAGTAGATAAAGGTTCTAGAATACCTAAGCTTAAGAGGTTTAAATACGCACTTTTCAGCGCTCATCATTTGGGATTGGCAAGATACAAATCATCTCGTGCCATCCTATAAAAAAAAACAAATACAAATAATGAAAGACGAATTTCCATTCTTTTCAAAATAAATAAGTAAACCACATTTGTTTCAATGCCAAAATAAATTCCTATGTTTCTAAAATAATTTAGGTGAAAAAATTCTAATTTTTCTATAGAAAAGATTACAATTTTGTCTCACAACTTTGAGATTGTGACGGGTTTATGTCTCTCTCTTTCTAAAAAAAATCCAAACAAATTGTAACCTCCAAAATATTGGATCGAATCCGTGGATGCATTCATGTTATTTTCCATTACATTTCCATGTTTAACCTATTCTTAATATTTATTACTTTTATATTTCAAATTATTCTAAAAAATAAATTATAATTGTTACTTTGAAACTAATAATTAAAAAATCCAAACAAATTGTTAAAAAAAAAAATAAAAAAAAAAAAAAAAAAAAAAAAAAACAGACGTTTTTGACAAATAAAAAATGATATAGTCATATAACATGTTAAGCATCTGTAGTGTGTACTGATTTTTCATTTTTCACTTTATTTTATAAAATAACATTGGCGATTTTTATTGTTTTTTCTCTTTATATCTAATTTATAAAAAATGATATAGTCATAATTTTAAGTTTTTGTATACAACTGCAAAAGCAATGCAAAATATTTGACATGTTATCTTGATCCAAATCGGTGGGTTTTTAGATATAATAAATAGGCCTACTAATATGAATTAGGAATTCAATTTAAAGTTGATATATATATATAGTATATATATGTGTGTGTGCGCGCGCGTGTGTAGTAGGGGGGAAGGGGACATAGGTGGGACGAGGCATAATGGTGAACACAGAAATAGTGCTACATCTGATCGAGAAAGATCAGTTCTTCTGCTACATCTGATCTACTTACACTATCTAGGCACTGTTAAATATTTAAAATCATTTCTTCCGCTACATCTGATATAGCTACAGCTTGTTTTTGCTTTAAAGGGAAATATGAGCCGCAAAAAGTCATGAGATGCAACAAACGTATTTTGCTTTAAAGGGAAATATACCTCTTTATAGCTACATCGATGCTGCTGTTTCTCTCACATAACCACAGTCTCATCGACTCTCTCTCTCTCACACACACACACACACACACAGTCTCATCTACTCTCTCTCAGACTCACATAACCACAACCTGAACCAAAAATACTTAGTAGTTCTTTGAAATGAGTACACAAAAGAGAGAGTGATGTGACAATACAAGACTAACACCTGCAGCAGCGCACGATATCCCAGGCCAAGCTGGTCCGCATCATGTGCGCCCCCTCAGAAGCTATCTGATCAAATATTTTATCTACAAGTCTATGGTGTGTGTGTATATATATATATATACACCCCAATATATGTATATAACAAAGTAGGCATCCTCTCTCCTATCATCTCTCACCACTAGTATATTTCACTCTCATTCACACTCAAGGACTCCTTAATCATCGTCTCTTTTTAGTATGTAGGAAAATGCACTTTTTTTTATCCATTAGGTTGACCATTAGGTTGACCATTGACTCGTGAATTGTAATTTTTACATATTATAGACCTGTGAACAAGTTACTCCCACCTACCCTTACATTGACTTCCTTAAATAAACTTCTAAGGCGGTGCTGCACATCCACTTTCGAGGTGTGCTACTGTGTTGCAGCATTCCTTTGTCACACTAGTTATGACGTGTGTGGTTCTTTGGGATTGAAGTAGTGGATACGCCTTCTGAATTGGCATAGTGGTGCTAGTTCTGGTGGGACAAGCTTTTTAGTACTTTGGACTTTTAGATATGGCGGTGCAATCTTCCTTTTGTGGTGATGGTCT